CCAGGGTGTTCGGGATGTTCCGCCAAGCCAGCGACCGAGAAGCCGTCTATGCCTGCTTCACCTTCTCCCACTGGCTGGTGTATGCCAACAGCGCTGCCAACCCCATCATCTACAACTTTCTCAGTGGTGAGTGGGCTGGGGGAAGAGTCACTGAGTGTGGCCAACAGCCCCTGGGACAACAGTCTCCCCATTCCAAGCAGGACCACAATAAAGGATGGTGGATGAGGCTCTACTTGCTCTCTCTTGGGACTGTGGCCCTGCTCTGGGGTGCCCCACCCAGAGGAGCCCTGGTCTGAATGGGAGATGGGCCACATTCTTTGCAGACCAGTGAGTGAGTGGAAGGCAGGGGCTGGGCCCAGTCACCCCCCAACCCACCCCAGGTACAGGCACAGCAGGACTACCAGTCAGCCCCACTGACTGAAGGAGCCCGTCTTCTCCAGAGGGAGGCAGGCCTGTGGGAAGAGGGCCAGGAACCCCTGCCTGAGGGAATGATTGCATAGTTCAGGTGTCAAGGATAAGGGAGGGTCACCAGGAAAGGGCTTCCTCTGCCCAGCTACACACTGGCAGAGACATCCAAATCTCAGGGGCTGACCCTGGATCCACCTGTCCTCTTACCCTCCCTTCTGGGAATCCTGGCCTCCCACTCCCACCCCGGACCTCCTCTCTCTGCTATCCCACAGGGACACTGTGGTAATGGCGTGGCCCCCCAGCCTTGACTCGGCAGAAGTGTGACCCACCAGATCTCTGACTTTGTGACTGGTCCAGAAAATTCTTCAAGCCTGGACACACATAATCCTTGAGAAACAGTTAAAGAAGGGGTCAGGGGTCAAGGGTATAACCCTCACTGAGACTCAAGAATGTCTCAACAAAGGCTAGCTGCTTTGGTTTCTCCCTCAGAAGAGAGAACAGAGATGAGCACTGGGGGGGGGACTGCGGGGAGGGGGAGCAGAGAGGGCAGGCCGACTTCTGAATGCATACGACTTTGTTTGCCTACATTTGCTGATCACCTACTGTGTGCTTGGCCCTGTGCTGGGCTACAGAGCTGCTGGCAGGCTGATGACACAAGATCAAGGAGGCTTCAGTTCCAGACAAAATCTGTTTCTCTGGTCTACTTGACTGAGTGAGGTGGTGTGGCAGTCCCTCCTTCCTCACTCGGTCCTCCCCCTTCAGAGAAGGGCTGTGGAATTTGTTAGGACTGGGTTCAGCTTCTGGCTGGGTGGCCTTGGGAAGCCACTGCACCTCTGTGCAACTCATCTGTGAAGTGAGGAGAAAGGACTCCAACTTTCCAGGGTGCTGGATGCTCTGGGGGCAGAGGCGGAGGCATACAGCACAGTGCTCGGCACAGCGTAACTGCCATATGCGAAGGCTGCCACCACTGTCATTGTCATCATCATAGGGCAGAGATGGGACAGCCTAGCAACAGATCATGAGCCCTGAGTCCCCTCCACATACGCACCAAGGAAGGCAGAGGTGACCCGAGGTCCCTGAGCCAGACATCACATTTTGAGCCAGGCTCTGAGCCAGAGCAGTCAAGGAATCAGATGACAATTGCATTTCTCCTTGGGAACCTGCTCTTGGGTCCCTGTCCTCACTCTCCCTGGCAGTGCCGAGGTTGCCCCAGGGCTCTCCACCGCAGCTCTTCCCCTCCTCCCCGCCCCCTCACAGGCAGCTTGGCTGGAGCTGCGTGGGTGTCCCTGGGCTCAAGGCCCTTTCCTGCTGCGTTTCTCCTTATGTCTGTATCTTTTGTCTCCCAACCAAGGCAAGTTCCGGGCGCAGTTTAAGGCCGCCTTCTCCTGCTGCCTGCCTGGCCTGGGTCCCTGCGGCTCTCTGAAGGCCCCCAGTCCCCGCTCCTCTGCCAGCCACAAGTCCTTGTCTTTGCAGAGCCGGTGCTCCGTCTCCAAAATCTCTGAGCATGTGGTGCTCACCAGCGTCACCACGGTGCTGCCCTGAGCGAGGGCTGCCCTGGCAGCTCTGGCTCCGGGGTGGTGCAAACTGTTTCCTGCCTGGGTTGCTCCTCTGGCTCCTGGGGGATCTGCCCCCACCCCTCATGGAAAGCCTGCTGGATGCAGTGAGAGGCTGGGGCTCCAGTCCTGGTGTTCTGCCTGTGATTCTGGGCAAGTTATCTCCTCTCTCTTACCTTGTGTCCCCTAAGCAGGGTTGACCTGAGACTTAAGCATGCTCAAGAAGTGGAACGCTCTTTGTAAACTGTGAAGTGTTGTGGACATGATTATTGTCGTACTTCTCTCCCTTGGCCATACCCCATGGTATCATTTATCCTCATCTTCCTTCCAGAGCCTGGCCTTCCTCCCAAAGACCCCTCTCCTACTCAATTACAGGCCTTCCCTGGGGTCTGCTCTGAAGGTCCCAGCAGGCATTTCCATCTGCTCCAGTGGCTCCCTATGGCCCAGGGCTGCTCTTGGCCGGCTGCTCTGGTACCCATTGAGCACAGCCCCACCCTCACCAGGTGCCGAGTGCACACACCATGGACTGGACCTTGTTGGCTTTGTGGTGTGATAAAACACTCTCCACGGCCATTTGGCACGGAGGCCAGCAGCCTGAAGCAATTGTAATTAAAAGTCTGGCACCAAATGTTCCCTTTCCTTGTCACTGCACAAAATCTGTGCTGCTTAGGTTAGAAGCAGAGGAAGGTGGGGAAGCTGGGGGGAGGGAAGAAGGCTCTGGAATGCTATCATCTGTTGACCTCCTACTCCATCCTCGCCACACTGGATCCCAGATGCACTCACAGCCAGGACTCAAGAGCACACGTGGCACTGCCTCCTCACGCGGTGGCAATCATGTGATGCCCAGAACCTCCACCCTTGACACATCTGTCTGCTCACAGGCCCAATGGACTGGGGAAGGTAAGGGGGTGGGCAGATAGATGGCAAGTTCATAGACTGACTTTCTGTTAATCTTCACCTTCTTAGAAATCAGGGCTTGTGTCTATTACTTGTGAACTCACAGGATATAAAAGAAAGCCACAGACTTGGCTAGACGTGCTCCGTCTGCCACCAAGATGATTACAGGGCTGCCAAAGGCCCCGATCCTTGTTGCCAGAGCAGGGCATGGAGCGCAGTCTGAGTGCTGCTCAGCTGAGAGGAACGGAGACATCTGGCAGGGGCCAACTTGGCTGTGCACACCACCAGGTCTGCTTAACTTGATTAATGGAGCTGTGGGTTCCCTCTGACCTCCCCTCTCAAGAAGGGGGGCAGAGCCATGGTGCCACCAGGGATCCAGGCCAAAAGTGCTTATAGACACTGCTCCTCCTAGGCACCCACTTTACCTTGGGCAGGCGGAAGCTGTAGCCTAAGGATATCACGCGCTCTCCAGATGACCAGCTGGCCCAGCTTTCTGTGGACAGTGCAGTTGTTGCCAGGGTCTGTTCAGCCCTTCCACATTCCCACTGGCCTTAAGATCCAAAGGGAGTTGGCGAGACCTCATCTCTACAATAAATTAAAAATTAGCCGGGCGTGGTAGCGCACGCCTATAGTTCCAGTTACTTGGAAGGCTGAGGCGGAAGGATC